TTTTTCCCAACCATCCTGTGGTATTGGGTCCTCGTTTTGAAGAGACAGCGCCCCGCGTCTCCTCTCCTCTCCTCTCCTCTCCTCTCCTCCTCCTCCTCCTCTCCCCCCTCCTCCCTCCTCCCATCGCCGTCATCATACTCATCGTCATCATCATCATCATCATCATCATCATCATCTTCATCATCATCATCATCTCATCATCATCATCCTCGTCATCATCACCACCAGCATCATCATCGTCATCATCATCGCCATCGCCATTAGTTCCCAACCATCCTGTCATCATCACCACCAGCATCATCATCGTCATCACCACCAGCATCATCATCGTCATCATCATCACCATCATCATCGCCATCGCCATTAGTTCCCATTTCCGCACACCCCTCACACGTTTCGTGGCCCCATAGGGAGCTCCACCGAAGGCCCCAGTGGCAGGGTTCGCATGCCGCCCCCACCCCACTTTGGCACACCCCTCACACGTTTCGTGGCCCCATAGGTAGCTCCACCGAAGGCCCCAGTGGCAGGGTTCGCATGCCGCCCCCGCCCCACTTTGGCACACCCCTCACACGCTTCGTGGCCCCATAGGTAGCTCCACCGAAGGCCCCAGTGGCAGGGTTCGCATGCCGCCCCCACCTCACTTTGGCACACCCCTCACACGTTTCGTGGCCCCACAGGGAGCTCCACCGACGGCCCCAGTGGCAGGGTTCGCATGCCGCCCCCACCCCACTTTGGCACACCCCTCACGCATTTCGTGGCCCCATAGGTAGCTCCACCGAAGGCCCCAGTGGCAGGGTTCGCATGCCGCCCCCACCTCACTTTGGCACACCCCTCACGCGTTTCGTGGCCCCATAGGTAGCTCCACCGAAGGCCCCAGTGGCAGGGTTCGCATGCCGCCCCCGCCCCACTTTGGCACACCCCTCACACGTTTCGTGGCCTCATAGGGAGCTCCACCGAAGGCCCCAGTGGCAGGGTTCGCATGCCGCCCCCATCTCACTTTGGCACACCCCTCACACGTTTCGTGGCCCCATAGGGAGCTCCACCGACGGCCCCAGTGGCAGGGTTCGCATGCCGCCCCCACCCCACTTTGGCACACCCCTCACGCATTTCGTGGCCCCATAGGGTGCTCTACCGAAGGCCCCCGTGGCAGGGTTCGCATGCCGCCCCCACCCACTTTGGCACACCCCTCACACGTTTCGTGGCCCCATTGGGAGTTCCACCGACGGCCCCAGTGGCAGGGTTCGCATGCGTCCGCGCCACCCATGTCGACACACCCTTGACACGTTTCGTGGCCCCATAATGAGCTCCACCGAAGGCCCCAGTGGCAGAGTTGGCATGCCGCCCCTCGCCCATTTCGGCCCACCCCTCACACGTTTCGTGGCCCCATAGGGAGCTCCACCGAAGGGGCCCCAGTGGTTGCGTTCGCATGCGTCCCCACCACCCATTTCGGCACACCCCTCATACGTTTCGTGGCCCCATAGGGAGCTCCACCGAAGGCCCCAGTGGCTCCCCACCACCCATTTCGGCACACCCCTCACACGTTTCGTGGCCCCATAGGGAGCTCCACCGAAGGCCCCAGTGGCTGCGTTCGCATGCCTCCCACCACCCATTTCGGCACACCCCTCACACGTTTCGTGGCCCCATAGGGAGCTCCACCGAAGGCCCCAGTGGCTGCGTTCGCATGCCTCCCCACCACCCATTTCGGCACACCCTTCACACGTTTCGTGGCCCCATAGGGAGCTCCACCGAAGGCCCCAGTGGCGCGGTGCCTATGAGAAGAGGGGCCTAGTTTGCGTGCCCCCTCCTTCGTCTCATATCCGTGCGGTACTCGCAGCTGCATATGGTTGGGTCCTTCGCCAGGCTAATTTTGGCAACGTGGGATGATAGGGCTCGGTGCACGGCTTTCGGGGTCCACGGAGGAGGCCACGTCCACGCAGTCTTAGGTCGGGCCTGTCCCCATACAGGGGGATTTTGAACGAAAAATGAACAATACCAGAAACATGCTCTAAAATAGTAAAAAATCGTTCCCAGACAATTTTGTTTTTTCCTACCTATACAACCACCCTGCGGGTGATAAGGAGGTTGGGGGGGAGGGGGGCCAGCAATGGGCAACAGTGGTGATTGTTGCGTTGCCGCTCGGTCGGACGTTTTCGCTCCAGACTTCCTCGATCTCACCATCGATCTCACTATCGATCTCTCTATCGATCTCACAAGCGATGTCGTTATCGGTTTCACGATCGATGGGACCATCGATCCCAGTATCGATCTCACTCGATCGATCTCACTATCGATCTCATTCGATCGATTTCACTGTTGATCTCACTCTGGATCTCGCTATCGGTCCCGCTATCGATCTCCCTATCGATATCGCTTGATCTCACAATCGATCTCACTATTCATCTCACTATCGATCTCACTATCGATCTCACGATCGATCTCACTATCGGTCTCACTATCGATCTCACTATCGGTCTCACAATCGATTTCGTCATCGGTCTCA